ACTTTAAATTCTTGAGCTCGTTACAGCAGAATGGATTCTGATTGGTTGGCAATTTTTTATCGTTCATCAGCTGGACAAAAATCGTTTTGAAAGTGATTCCAACGATATCGTTTCTCTGTCTTTATCGTTATAGCTGTGGTGTGGACTCTGCTATTCTTTAATATTGAGAACGATTTTTAGAACTATATCTTTATCGTTATCTTTATAATTATCGTCCTTGGTGTGAACGGGCCTTTACTCCACAAAGTTATTTCTTTAGCTGAGATAACTTGTTATGGCTACTTTATTCATTGCCTTGTTAGAAGTCCCTTACTGTCGTAATCATTAAAAGGTTAATTAATACCTTTTAATTTGTATATTTTATTATTGAATCTAAACTGTCATATTAATTCCCTTTCTCTGTTTTCGGTTACTTCTATTTAGCAAGCCAACAGCTTAGCCTATTAGCTTAGCATAGCGCTAACTGCTGCATCTGAAATCAAACAGGTACTACATTTGGTTTGAAATCTGCTTCACGTAAAAAAAAAAATAAAATGCGTGTGTGTAGTATGAATGAAATTTGGACGTACTACATCGGCCATGTGACCCACGACGTCAATTGTGCCTCATGGGATAGTAAAGTATCCATCAGATGCACACTTCAGAATCTCACTGTTACAGGACGTCATCTGGGTACTGTTTTAGGAATACTATGAATTCGGACATACTACTCGGCTCACATACTATAAAGTATGGAAGTAGGCATATTCGGATGCATATTTTTTTTTATCAGGGATTAGAAAGGGAGACAGGATTCTGATGGATTACTCTTCGAACTGGGATCATCTGAACCAAACATGGGCAAAAAATGTACAACACGGAGCATATGTCTTCTGCGGTCATGCATTTTTACATAATGACAGAATCAGGTGGTTAAAATAAGGAACCATGCTTGCTAATGCAGACGGGCACTTTGCCTTGGTGTGCGAGCGATTAAACGCATGCAAATGCTGACTTCTACAGACAGACTGCTCTAGACAAGCATTTCTTATTTAAAATCACATGACAAGTCATTTGGGAGCTTGGCAATACAAGTACAAATATATAAAACAGACGGTTGCTATATACAGTTGCTTATGAAAATGCTAAGGATTACAAAAGGGGTTACATCTGAATATTCACACACATACAGATTTGATGCCATCTTTGCAATGCAGAGGAAACACAGGAGCTGCATCTGAAGTGGCATTTAGATGTGTTTACACACTGTTTAATGCAGGACATGAATGCATTTAACCTGCAGTTACAAATGCATAAATAATGTTTTGATATATTAAACATTAAAACGTTGAATACTGATATTTGAAATTTAAATAATAAAAATATACTTTAAATGTGAAATTAAAACCGCCAGTAGGTGGCAGCAAGTGACCGTTAATAAGTGAGTCATTGCGATTGAACCAAATAATTCAAACGGTTGATTCATTCAGGAACGAAACGCCGTCATGTTGCTCAGAGACGCAAAACAGTGCTGTGCCTGTGTTTGGAATTATATTTGTTGGCGAAATAGAGCAAAACAGGCAATATGGTGTCTAAAATGTCTCTTAATTAAGTTCTTGTTTATTGAACTGCTCTTTGTGTGAAATTGATTAACTACATGAAGTGGTATATATTGAGATCATTCTCAATGTATTTTAATAGACTGAATCATGCAGTGAAAGAACGCACTGTAGATGCGCTTCACGTAATATATGTGTGCACTCTGTAGATGTGCTTTGAATTGTATTTTTGCAAAATACTCGATAATGTCAAATCGCACATTGTTAAAACAACAATTACGATATGATCACAGATGATATATATCGCACACTCATAATCAATATTCTAGCAAACCTCCCACAAACCCCTTGCACTGTGGCAGTGAGTTTTACTCCCCACTGTCCGGAACAGCCTTGGCAATGAGAACATGAATTTTAGAACTGAACTATCTAGGTAGGCAGATCACTAGGTTTCGGAACGGAACTTTTGCGTGATGTTTGTGTGAGTAATTTCTTACCCCGTGTGACCCAGACACGTGGCGTGGTGCAGAGGTGCCCGTCCTCGTATGTCCCTCTGATTGACATCTGCTCCATTCTGCAGTAGTAACTCACAGGCTATCAGAGAGCCCTATGAGAGCGAGCGAGAGAGATCTCAAACATTAGTAAACACCGTTAATTTACCAAACTAGCTGTACATGAAGTATACACTGTAAAAAATGTTTTTTAAAGCATTAAAACAAAGATTATAAAATGGATAGTTCTGGTCCTTGATTCTGATTGGTTGAGCCACGTTCGAAGCTGTTGTAAATTGCTCTACAAACATACACATTTGTTTACATTTGTGTGTTGCTTTGCAACCACTTTGTTGCAACCACAACCGTTTCTGAGGAACTACATTGTTTGGTGGAAGAATAATGTTTTCATTAATATCTTTACATTTTATTTGCTTTGTTTCATTTTGTGAAACCTTGCTATGTATATGGAATAACTGTTTTATAAAAGCAATAATCCCCATGAAGCCGTGGTTTACAGTGAATTTATAATAGCTAAGGCCCCGATCACACGAACACGTTTTTTAGGTCTGAAAACGCGAGGCGCACCGCACTGCCTTTTTTTGGTGACTTAAAAAAAAAAAAAAAAAAGAGCAGTGTGCTGCGTTTTTTATGTTGCTACGCAAACACCAAATCAGCTGTGCTGTCAGTCTAATCAAAGCATTATAGCGCGAGCGCTCTAAAATATTAGTTTTTTGCCGTTAAGTAAACTCTCATATTAACAGAAATCATAAAAAATACTGCTCCAGGTAACCCCGGACACCAAAAGTTTCTCCTCCATCATAGCAGTCTTTCGTCATCACAACAGAAGGCCCGCCTCTCCGTTCATTCGATTGAACAATGGAAAAAACGCGAATGACGTAGGGCACTTTTTCTGCTCAGAGTTGCTTTTCAACTTCAGGCGCTCAGTGTGCTCCAGCAAAAACGCGAGGCGCAGCAGGCAGCGAAAACGCTAGGTACATAGGGCGCATAATATTGGGGAAGTCGTGGCCTAATGGTTAGAGAGTCGGACTCGTAACCCAAAGGATGCGGGTTCGAGTCTCGTACCGGCAGGGATTGTATGTGGGGGGAGTGAATGTACAGCGCTCTCTCCCACCTTTAATACCACGACTGAGGTGCCCTTGAGCAAGGCACCGAACCCCCAACTGCTCCCCGGGCTGCCCACTGCTCCGGGTGTGTGTTCACGGTGTGTGTGTGTGTTCACTGCTGTGCGCGCGCACTTTGGATGGGTTAAAATACAGAGCACTAATTCCAAATATGGGTCACCATACTTGGCCACATGTCACGTCACGTCACTTTAAACAGCGCGCAGAACGCTCACTGCCAACCGAAAACAATTTAAAAAAAGCGCCTCTCACTGCAAAAAACGCGTTCTGTGTGATCGGGGCCTAAGAGGGTTTTAGGCATTGCTTCGCGTCGTGCCTAACAACGCCCCTTAGCTGTTATAAATTCACTGTTAACTACAGCTTCTTGGGGCTAATTGCTTGAAGTACGTTTTACAAGAAAATAAATTTTTGGAAAATACATCCTTTCTACTTCATACTTGCCATTTCTTTGGAAAAATTTGTGAAATTTTAGCAATTTATGAGTGAAAATGGCTTCACAGTAAATCCTACACCAGGTTTTATTCAGTCTCACCCCTGCGACGGCTTGTATTAATGGACTCTTGCTTTCGTCCTCCTCGCTGACAGAGTTGATATCTGCACCGTGTGCGAGGGCCTCTGCCATGACCGGTAGGTTCCTGGCCCGTGACGCCTTATGAAGCAGCGCATTCGGGTCAAGCTCCCTGCCGTCCTCTGGATCCGACGCTTCCTGCTCGATATCAACCTCCCCGCTGGACTCATCCGAGTCCTCACACTCTGCAATAAAACAAAGACATGGGAGATGATGAAGGGGATAAACACACAACAGAGAGATATACCAAAGTAGGACGTCTTCTCACCTTCCTTAGTGACGCTGTCCACCACTGAGCCAAAAACGAGTATGTCTGTGCTCCCGTCAGTACTGCCGCCAAGCCCGCTATCACTGCTGAGACCTGCGGGGCCAATGGGTGCCAAGCGAGGGACACGTTACTCACACTGTGACCTTCTCAATCATTCAGTCCTTGACTCCTCAACACAATACATTAAAAAATTTGTCTGCAACAGGCATTTGTGCAGACCAATGTTTCTGTTGCCACTCTCAAAATTAAATCTGTAGGAGATATTTGGGATGGACTTGGTGGTCTCGTGGTTTATAGAAGGTAAAGTCTTATTAGGAACTTACTGCGAGGCCCTGAGCCGGTGTCGAAGTATGAGAAGAGCGAATCAAGCTCGTCAGGACAAAACAAGGATTCTCTCCGAAACTTTGCGGCTGCTGCAGCTGAGGATGACAAATAGAGATCATCATGTCAACTTCTCACTTTGTCTAACACTCACAATGCATTCAAAATCTGTATTTTGACATTTTGTGTCCGTTAAAATCATTACTTTATAAAACAGCCATAACTTAATATTTTTCAATATTATTGTAGCTGATCATTAATAAGTGAATGAGAAAAAAATTGAATATTTAAAAAATATTATATATAAATTTACAATGTTTACAAAAATGGTACAATAATGTCGATTCACTTTTTTATTACTTAAAATTGAGAAATTCTTTGAAATTTCAAAAAGCTATGATGCAATATATATTTGTTTCAATTTCAAATATATCATTGCATGAAATTTAAGACCGAATAATCAGAGAATTTTCAGTATCAAGTCCACTGGAATGAATGGCATTTCCTTTGAAATTATCATTTGAAATATAATTCGAAAATATAATTATAATTCAAAAACAGTCTAAATTTATGAAGCTTACATATTCATGACAAAACAACATCAAAACAACAAATATTACTCTGAGAAGTTTTCAAACAAAATCCATTAATTTTACTTGCATAAACTTTCACTGTCAGATCACAAAAGTGATCCATTTTTCATGCTGCATTGGATTATCAATAGGCATACTTAACAAAATTCAGTCCCAAATATGTGTGAGATATGGGGAAAGGCTAAATACATTTTACAAAAAGTATTTTTGACACCTAATGGACTGCATATATACCAGGTCCAAAATTGTTACATCTTGCAAAAAAAGTAACAGTAAAAAAAAATCAAATAATAAAAATAAATGATGCGTATTTTGAGGGTGTTAATGAATTTGAAAAGTAATTTTACATTGAAAAAAAA